GAACCCAGACGGTGACAGCACAGCCCCATAGCAAATCTGCTGTAAGTTACATGCCACCTAAAGGAATGTAAGAACTGGAGAGCAAAATTTACCATCCTACTTGAAATAAAGGCAAATAAGGTGATAACAGTTCATACAGAGCACTGTACCAAACCATGAATTACTTACATGAACCCATTCTCTCTCTGGCATTTTTCTAGTGTGTTCTTAATCAAACTTCCCAACTTCCTGAAGAAGAGATGTCCAGAAGGTTTGGCAGTAGTCCCAGGCCCTTTGGTTTCTCCATATTCTTTGCACAATGCTTCAGCCTTGGCAAAAACTTTGCAAGAAAGAAATGTAATAAGAATCATTTACATGACTCTATTGAAGCAGCATTCTGGTCTACAGTGCTTCAGTTGTAGGAGATACCAGGATCCATTTAGGCTTTTTGTTTCTTAGAAACAAAAATAAACTAACTCAAAGGCAGCACTTCCAGCCAAGACCTACTGCATCCAAAAAGTGAGTACGAACAGGAAAAAACAAGAGATAGCTTTTTGGGCAGGAAGATGCAGGAAAGCATTCTTATGTGTGGGGCAAAATGCAACAGTAAGCCCAAGAACTGTCCACATGGTAGGCAAAAAGAGAGAGTATGAAGCTGTTCACACGCAGGTGAAACCCCAAAATAAACAGCACTTAATATGGAGTGGGCAAAGAAACACTCTTCTCTCAACAACAGGCACAGTAAATAACACAGCATTTGGTTTATTGCAAGTCATCCAACTTAGTTTACTCCTAATAAATTCTTAATTTATTTTTAAAATTAATATTAAAGGTTTCCAATGTGATGAATTGAGCATTTTTTACACACTGTGGCAAAGTTATGCAGTGCAGGTTGCTGGGGTAGCAATAGCTTTGAAGTGACTAGGACAGGCAAAAGAACCTGAACTACTGCTTACTTCCCTCAATCTACCTTTCAAAGAAATAGAAAGGAAATAAATTACTGAAAAACCTGTTTAGAAACAAAGAAACATGATCTGGATTTACTATTTAATGTAAGCTACAGCAACCTCCACAGCAGAAAAGGCTGCAGTAACTTAACATCCATCAACACCAGACAAGTGATATTCACACTGTACTGCAGGCAGTTCAGAGCCAGTCTCTAACAGGCCCAGAAGTGAAGATGGTATTTTCTGGAGCACTGTTACGAAAGACAGTCTTTGGTAAGACAGAGGAAAGGATACACTGTCTCTATTCAAAACTGGGCTGGATTTCCATCAGGTGACCTTAAGTTCATGGGAGACCAAAATAAGAGGAGGGCCACGAGGATGATAAGAGGACTGGAGCACCTCCTGTATGGACACAGGCTGAGAAAGTTGGGGCTGTTCAGCCTGGAGAAGAGAAGCTGCGTGGAGACCTCAGAGCAGCTTCCAGTGTCTGAAGGGGGCTACAAGGATGCTGGGGAGGGACTCTTCATTAGGGACTGTAGTGGTAGGACAAGGGGGGATGGGTTCAAACTTAAACAGGGGAAGTCTAGGGTAGATCTTACGGAAGAAGTTCTTCACAGTGAGGGTGGTGAGGCACTGGAATGGGTTGCCCAAGGAAGTCGTGAATGCTCCAACCCTGGAGGCGTTTAAGGCCAGGTTGGACAGAGCCTTGGGCGACATAGTTTAGTGTGTGGTGTCCCTGCTCATGGCAGGGGGGTTGGAACTAGATGTTCTTAAGGTCCTTTCCAACCCTAACTATTCTGTGGTTCTATGAAACACGATACAGCAAAACAAACCAGGCATGTCACCATTAGACCCTGTAACCCAGGCTCAATCACACTTACATTTTTCTGATTCCTGCAGAGATCTGATTGCTTCCCCACATTTATCACTCGCCAATAAAGTCTGACCATGGTAACAATATGCCTAATGGGAGAGGACAAAATCATTACTAACACCACTGGGCACTTCCTGCACTGATTCACTTCTGCTCTTCTTTACATCAGAGTTGCAGCTCTTTGCAGCTGCCATTCCCTGCAGATAGCTGACAATTTGGGGATGCAAATCAAAGCAGCATTCACTGAACAATGCAGTCCAACATAAACACCATGAGGTAGGTATGAAGCAAGCTGTGTCCAGTCTAGATGAGAGTCTTTGAGCTGTTTTACCAAAAGCACTAGCATACAGTCTAGTTCAAATCTCTTTCTTGTTGTATCAATGTGCAGCATAACCCTGGTGTAATGGCTGGACTTGATGATCTTAAAGGTCTGTCCAACCTAGTTGATTCTATGATTCTATTAAGCCCCATCACAAAAAGAGGATGACCCCGAGTCAACTTTACAAAGCAAAGACTAAACCTGAACAGTCAAAACCCAAACCTGCAACAAACATCACTGATCCAGAAGAGATGTTCTGCTGCGCCTTTTGCCATAGTCCAAATAACTTTTCCAGCAAAAAAAGTCCCATTCCTTCACACTTACTCTAGAAAATAGTACTGTATTCCAGTGAGAACTCAACTGCCTCTTTTCTATTATCAGGTGTTGTGGAGTTTAAATACTAAATACCATAGGTAAAGGAACAATCCCATGAACGAATGCCTACCTTGCATTCCTTCCTTTAATGCCTGTTCTCACAGTATTACAAGTGTTACCTAAATCTACCATTGCCCATATTACAGAAATTAAAAAGAAAAGTACCACAGCTCTGAGCCTCCTTAATCTCTCAAACTTGCTAACAAGGCAAACAGCTTTGAACTACAGGTTTAGCTTCATAAGAGAACGACAACTGTGTTAACAGCTTAGTTTGGGCCTTTTTTAGAGTCTGAAAGAACCAGATTACAGGCTGTGGCTGGCTGCAAGAAATAAACTGCAAACGGAGCAGCCAATGATCCCAAGAGAGGCAGTGCACTTGCTAAGAGGGACAGCACTTAGAATGGTACCTAACGTTGCTTAATGCAGTTTCAGGGCATTGAGAAAGATGATCAGTTAGGATCAGATTGTGATGCAGATAATGGAAGAGCAGTATTATGTTCTACCTGAACTGCTTCACTCAACAATACAGGATCACAACTAATTCCACACTGCAATAATTTGTCTCCACAAAACCACTTCAAATGCCATCAACACTGTCCTGTCTCCCTTCAAAGCACAGAAAGTCAAGGCAATACTTGCCCCCATTCCCTATCCAGCCCTTAGGACAACATTAAAAGCCGTGGCAGCTGCCAACCAAAGTACTTACATAGGCCATATAGAAACAGTTCTTCAAGTTTAAGTACTTCCTCCATTTTCCTGCATAGGTAGCATCCAAACTGGATAATGTTTGGTCTATGAACACATATGTCAAGTTATTCCTTAAGACATTTCCAAAAAGAAAAATCAGACCCACCGCCAAAGACCAGAATTCTTTAAGTTAGCAAGAGATCTTAAGTATAAAGTTGCCAGCAAGAAATGACATGAATTACTCCTGCAAAAACACAGAGAAACTATGAGAAAAACCAAAAGTATGCAGTTTATTGAGCTATCGTGCAGTTGTTCCTAGAATCCCTGAAACTGCTGTCCACTGAGTTTGGAAGGCTAATTCTCCAAGGTGTTTTTAGGCAGTGTTTCAAAACTTGTTCCTAGTTTAATTTCAAGTAGTGACTTACAAAAGCCTAAGTATGCTACATATTCCATCTCTTATACTGACTCCCATATTTCTGCACTTTTCCTGCTTGCCTCAGTAAGGCCACAGATCAATTCACTCATCTGGAAGGATGTACATAATGAACCTGCTTTACACACACTTTACAGTCTGCATCGTCATCTGCTGCCCAAAGGTACCTGAAACACACTGCATTTACATCAAGCCATTTGTTTGCTGCTATTATACATCCTCAAGACATTACTCTGTCTTCTGTCTCCCCTCCCTAACATTTCCTACCATGAGCTACAGAAAAGGATTCCCACAAAACCAAAAGGCCTTCTCAAGATGTATCTGTTACACTGATAACTGAAGCCTTCAGTGGGCTAAATAGAAGCTAAATATACAAAGCATGTCCACTGAGAAACAGTGTTCCTATCACAACTGATGGGTGAGTAAAGCAGGTCTGCTGGCAAGAAAGCATAAACCAGGTCACTAAGGATACAAAACAAGACACTCACCAGCTTTTTGGTAGAAGTTAGCTGTTTCATAAGCAAGCGCAGCTATTAGTCCTGGATTGTGTTTCAGCTCAATAGCCCGAGCAATCGTCACTGAAAAAAGAAATTCCACAGCACAGTATTAAAGTTTAATTGAAGATGTCACATCAGTGCAAAGGTATTTAGTGTTTTAAACCCCCTACATGAGCAGGAAACAAGTATTGTGCAGTCAAGCAAACTGCAGAATGAATGTTTCTTGGATAGAATGTTTCCAAATTCATAGAAAAGCTGAAGGAAGGTTTGTCTGGAGACTGGACAGTAAACAAGCTACTAGTATTTGAAGTAAAGGAACTGGGGATTTATGTTAGGCAAGCATGGTGGTGAGGAGACAGCAGGAAAGGAAAAATGAAGAGGGGAGGAATGTCACACACGAGTTCTTCCAAAGTGGTTACATGTGTAATATCAGACTGATTTTTGGCAGTTTCCTCCTATAATTGTAACTGAAGTTTCTTTAAAAGCAACCCGCCCCACTAAGCCACAGTACTTCAGGAGAATTAAAAACAGGCACTGCTGCCAAGCAGACTTCACGAGACACCAAAGAAACCCACAAAGACCGTCATTTCCCATCCCCAACAAACATAACCTTGAAGATACCTTCTTGAGCTTCAGCTTGGCACTGGATGATGTAAGAGTCTATAAGTCGAGCTTCCAAATCTCTTCCCTTTTCTACAGGTGTAATCAGTTTTGGAATGTGACTTTCCTAAGTACAAGGCAAGTCCCAAAGTTAGTTTAAGCTTAATACCATAGCTGCTAGTACAAAGCATGTCGCTTATTCCTGTATGGGTGGGATACCGAGTGAAGGCCCAAAGATGACTGGCTGCACTGTGCATGAGCTACTGGGCAAGACAGATGGATTTCTCTTCCACTGCCATTGGGAAAAGGAAGCAGGGATCGAGTGGTTGCACAACATAGTTATATCTTTCTTTTTCTCTGTATCATTCAGACAGTCTGAGGTATTTGTTTATTCTGTAACCTTGTCAGAAAAGCAAATGCTTTTCTAAGACAAAAGTACTTGGAGACAACTTACAGAACACACAGCAAAGACAGCTTCTTTACCTTCAAGTGTTTAAAGACCCCAGCTGCTATCTTCAGGCTCCTGTGAACATCTTTTGCTTCATCTTCTGTTATACTAAGAATACAGAACAATGGATGAAATCTTAGTTAGAAAGGACCTCTAGGTGTCATTTAGTCCCACCTCCCACTTTTGGAGAACTACAGACAACAGCCAGGTTGGACAGAGCCTTGGGTGACATGGTCTAGTGTGAGGCGTCCCAGCCCGTGGCAGGGGGTTGGAACTGGATGATCTTGAGGTTGTTTCCAACCCAAACCATTCTGTGATTCTATGATTCTAAGCGCACTTGAACTTTACAGCACATGAATGAAGGCCAAATGCCTCCTCAAACTCCTATTGCCTCAGACAGACATGCACTACAACAGCCAGAACTCAGAACCTGCTCATTTTTTGGGTGGAATATTGCTGCAATGGAATTAGTAAGAAAAGAAAAACACTTACTCTTCTTTTCCAGCGAGTCTTGATGCATACTTTGTGTACCACAGAGCCACATTAAACCCCATGGAAACCAGTTCAAACACTGCATCCTGCTGGGCACTACAGACAGACAGAGAACCCCCCCCATCAATTTTATGCTTTCCATTTTGTTCTGACAAGCTCTCTCTGATGATAGCTCACATAGCATAAGTCAATGTTTCTCTCCATAAAACACTTCTCATCTCAAAAGTCAACAGTTTTCAACTTGCTGAACTGCCTAAAAGAGATTTCAATTTTTACTTATTCCCTTTAAGAGCTCACAATCTCCCACATTCAGATGCCTCCCCTTCCCATTTGGGAACTTTCACTTTAAAACAGTAACTCGAGATTTGTTTAGCTTTGGGTGTGGCTGACATTTTTCCATGATTTTTTTTTTCCCCTTAAATTGCACATTTTGTGGAAAGCTTTGCTCTGGAATGTCTCCTTTAAACTTGTAGCTCCTGAGTTAATAAGTCAGAGTCTATTACATCTCCCTCGAACGAATGTTATTGCAAGTATTTATGTAACTGCAGTCAAACAGCATGTGCAAATAGCAGGGAATTTCAGAAGCTAAAAACATGGCCTGTGGAAAGAGCGAACTTCCAATCACAAGCTCAGGATAGCTTAGGAACTAGTAAACTTTAAAAAGAAAGGTGTGGGAGTGGGAAGAATCATGCTGGCACAAGGACAAACGCGTATGGCGATGAGAAAATCAGGAGAGAGCCCTAATCAACAGATTGCCTTCCAAGGGGAAGAAAAGCTTTGAGGAAGTTGAGCTTTTCTTCTAGAAAAAGCTTGACAAATGTGTAAGTGGGGTTATACAACACAATTACAATAGCAAGAGTCAACTGAATCATCTGTATCCCGACTTAAAACAGAAGCTCTGGTGGTTTGTACCAGGAGTACATGTACTGGGAGCTTCAGAGGACAAGAACAAAATGAGATCTTCAGCAATGTACTTCAAAAAACTCAGCAGATATTACTCAGGCAATAGTGCCAAATGGAAGTTTTAAACTGCAGTAATTTGTGTTATTATATGCAATTCACCAATACTCTCAAGGTTTTCTTTGCATTGCTCTAACTAACTGTAGATATAGTTCGTAGACAGACTAAGACACAATAGATCCTTCTACCACTATCATGCATTTATCACCAAAACCTTTATTTTATTATTATCATGCATTTGGAGCCTACAGGGATGCTGGAGAAGGACTCTTCATCAGGGACTGTAGTCATCAGGGACAACAGGTAACGGGTTTAAACTTAAACACGGGAGATTTAGGTTACATACAAGGAAGAAATTCTTCCCTGTGAGGGTGATGAGACACTGGCAGAGGTTCCCCAGAGAAGCTGTGGCTGCCCCATCCCTGGCAGTGTTCAAGGATGTTGGATGTTCAAGTGTTCAAGTGTTGGATGGGGCTTGGAGCAACCTGCTCTAGTGTGAGATGTCCCTGCTCATGGCAGGGGGTTGGAACTGGATGAGCTTAAGGTTCTTTCCAACCCAAACCAGTCTGTGATTCTATGATCACACCTTTAAATAAAGGCAGCACATGCTTCAGAGCACCTAATACAGTACGGCAATTATCAAAACCACAAAGCAACAAGGTTTTGGAAACTACTTTGCTGCACTGCTGCACTTTTAAGTCTTCTACACACATTTGCATGTACATAACAGACAAAAAGAACCAGATGCATACACTGTAATCATAAAAGCATATGTACCTTGGAACTTGTCCTTGCAATGTGTCTGTCCACTTGAAGTTCTGAATATATCTCAACTTGCATTCTTGGGAAGAGTCATCCAGTGAAAGGATAAAACCTGTAGAAAACCTCTGTTACTTCCTGAGGCTTTCATTCCTCAATATCTTCAGAACAAGATGTGCAAAAACCACCAAACTAGCTACAAGAAATTCCTTGCTCAGCAGGTCTCCAACCCAACCCTGTGGGTCCTGACTGCTCAAGGAAAACCTTGCAGGGGTCTGCATGTCCTCTATGGTAACTAGCTGGGAGCTGGGCTGACCCAGGTGCAGGATGGGTGAGACTGCTTAAGGTGAGTGAGTGACTGTCCCTGCTACCATCGTGGCTATTGGGAAATTCCAGGAAGAGCTGCCTGGTCAACAGGAAAAGGGCTTATGACCTACTCAGCTACTCGTCATCGTTTATCTCCAGAGCTACAGGAAATTGGTCCTTTACATCCAGCAGCCCAGAAAGCAGCAGTCAGTGGAATGAAGTTTATGCTACGGGATGTTCAAACCCTACCCCATGCAGGCCCAAGGAATTTTTTAGGGAAGAGTAACACTGGCCTTGGTCTGATCAGGTCTTACAGATCTCAAGAACTTGAGACTTGCAGCAGCAGCTATTTGAGCTCTGGTGCTCTAGGTCCTGTCACATGCTTATAAAGTCAGAAAATACTTGCTCCTTTCACATGCAGCAGGTTTCAGCAATCAAGAGTGATGCCTTCCTGATGAAACTCTCCAAATCTTGTCTGCAGCAACACGGACTGCTATTTTACCGTTGTGTCACATTGGTTTACACCCTCCCAGGGACTGAGGGAACTAAAGCAACGTGAGCTGCTTCACTTCCCACAGACTGAAGGATCACAGTTTCCATGAATCAGCCGATTCCTGAAAAGTCAGTCCTAAAAATCTTGCCTGAGCACCTGACTGCTAAGAGAGAGTTATCAAAATATCGGCAGTAGGAAGGTTTCAAGGGAATGCATCATCATAGGTGATCATCTACTGATAATGTAGATACTGTTCTAACGAGCACCTGTATATGCACCTAAGAGAAACAGCAGTAGAAAACTTGCAACAAGTCTATTCTCCAGCATTAGACAAGCCAGAAGTTTACATCAGAGTGAAGTTTACATCCTAAACATTTTCTCCTCCAGGAAAGGAAGCAGGAAGCACAAAGAGATTAAAAGCAAGAGGACAGAACTGCCAACACTTAGTACTGGCAGGGTCACAAAGGACACTGGAACTTGTAGAAAGTACCCATGACTGGTATCAAGCTTAGAACCCAGGAAGATACTCTCTTTCCTGAGAAGTGCAAAGCTTCTTTGTGGAAGATTAGCACAATACAGAGTGTGAGAAGTCTCATTAAACCTCAAATTACACACCTCTTGATGTATTAGCACCATTGCTAATAAATGTTCCTACCTTGCAAGAGTGAGAAGTACAGGTCAGTTGCATTCTTCATCATCTCTGGATTACAACTCGAGTCTGTGAACAGCTCCAACAGTCGGGATCGAGATAACCTCAAATCACTATATGGAGGGGAAAAAAGACAAGACAAAGATCTCTAAGAAATTCTACCCAAAAATGTGCTATTAAGAATGTACCCACCCATGTACACCACCACCTTTTTGGACAGACAGCAACGGATAATCAGGACTCATTATTAATCTAAACTAAACTAACTATGCCTTTATCTACTGAGATCTTGGGTGCAGGGGAAGAGAAGTAACAAGCAGAACATTCTTCAACATTAGAATGGGATGAGCATCTGAAGAGATAAGAAGAGACCTACCAAATAAGCTGAAATCTCTTTCCATTCTATCCCTATCTACAATAGAACATTCATGCCTTACTCACTTATGGAAATGACTTTAAGTAATCTTTCGCAGAAGAACGCACAGTCATCAGAAAGACAATGAAATGTTCAGTCTTTCGCCTCTGCATTATTATAATTGGCCTTGCCATACACTCAGAGACTTGAAAACTGGGTAATTCAGTCTTTGTAACTGAACACTCAATGTTTCCCAGCCTACGCGTTTCTCCTCATCTTCAGAACAAAAACTGAAGAGTAACCATTACTTTTAAGGGTGCCCCCCAAACTGTGAGAGTCAGAGTGAAGTTAACCATACGCACACTTACTTGCAAACCTTTGCTGCAGCTGGAGTGGTAGCTACCCCGTAAAAATTAAATGAAACGGGAGCTGTAGCCTTCAAAGGGTTGCGGTGAAACCAGTGGGTCATTTTCGTTCTGTTGTGCTGTTTGATGCCAAATCTAAAGCGTGGCAAGAAATGAACAGGAACAGCTCAGGTGCTACATATGTCATGCTCCTTGGCTCACAAAAATGTATTCCAGATGTAAACAATTATGAAATAAGTTCATTTGCAAAGTTGTATATAATCACGCAGAAGAAATTACCCTTCTTTTTTTTCCCATGTGAAACACTGAGCTTCCATACACCTTGTCTGCATCATCCATGTGCTTAGTTTGAGAATGCCACTCTCTTGAAATTCCCTCTCTGCTTTCTGAGGCAACTATTTTAAGTTGGGCAAAAAGCTATAACCTACTTTGCTTTGTATTACTGTATACTTTCCTGCTCAAAACACCCCCCCACATTTGTTACCTCCTGCATAAAGCTGCATATTTCCCGTGTAATTTCCATTCACTGAGGTCATTCTATTGTCTCTGGTCAATCTATTAATAGCCTTTATTGTGGCACCAGTGATATCAATGAAACTGCAGTTACAGAGTAACCCTTGCTGAAAACATAGATGTATTTACATAGGTGTAACAGACCTAGAAGTCTGACAGAGAACAGCTAAAACACACCATCTTTTTGCCTTTCACCTCAGCGTTAGCAAACATATACAACACCAGCAATCCTATGAGCTTTCAACGGTGGGCACGGTGGGAGGATGAAAGGTAATGGGCGTGCATTAAGGTCTGTGCTGGATGAAAGGAGAAACTTCACCGTGAGGACAGCGGAACCGAGGTACAAGTTGCGCAAAGAGCTGGCGTGGTGTGACCATCCTCAAAGGCTTTGAAGAGCTCATGGGATGAGTCCCTGACCTCAGAGGTGATGCTGCTCTGAGTGGGACCGTGGACCAGAGACCCCAGAGCTCCCTCCATCCCCTCACGATCCTCTCCCGGTCCTCCCTCGCTACAAAACGTCTTGTAGCTCGGCTCACAAAAAGGATCCAAGCAGCCACCCCCTGTCACCGGCCGCGTCTTCCT